AAAAAAAGTCAAATTTTTGGCTAATTATATTTCAAATTGGATGAATATAGTATAGTCATTGAAACTTATAATTTTGGTAGCTTGTAAAATGCAGGAATGCATTTAATATAATTCATTTTATTTTTATTTTTCATCTCATTTATTTATAATTTTGTTTATTATGCACCTGCTATAACTGATACTGGGGATCCGAGATAAAAATGAAACCACTTCCTACTGTCAAGTAGTTTATATTATACTGAGGGTTGATCATGTGGCACATCAAACAATGTGTGCAGAGAGAAGTAAATATTGAATAAAGAAAAAGGAAATAGAGGGAGAATTCCTAGGGAATTGGAGCAAAGAAGTTCTAGCAACCTAGTGGATCAAGAAAAGCCTCTAGTGGCAGATGACACTTGATTTGGACCTAGAATGGAACTAGTAATTACAAGAAGCATTGGTGAGGAGGAGAAAGGTCATTCCAGGCATGAGGCACAATCTAAGCAAAGGAACAGGGATGGAAGTTGAAATACCATTACCACAGGTGGTAATGGTAATAGACAAACTTAGTTGGAAGATAAAGTGTGTGAGGGGAGCAATGTGAAATCAGCCTAGAAAGACATATTGCAATCAGATGGGCAAGCTTTTAAATATCAAACAGAGGAGTCTTGTATTTTATCCTAGATCAGGGTTTTAATCCGAGGGCCATAGAACCCTAAGGGGTCCATGGATAGATTTCAGGGTATCTATAAAATTGGATGGGAAAAATTACATCTTTATTTTCACTAACCTCTAACTCAAGTTTAGCACTCCTTTCAATTATCAATAAAGACAACAAATATTAATCTGAGAAGAGGTCCATAGGCTTCACCAGATTGCCAAAAGGATCCATGAAACAAAAGAGAAAAAACAAAAGGTTAAGAACTGTGTCTTAGATACAAAAGGTAGGCACTGAAGCCTGAAGCTTCTAAAATAGAGGGGAGTGACACAGGAGTGACCCATGCTTTAGGGAGATCAATTTGACTGCTCTTTAGATGGGAGATGATTGAGGATTATGACAGGGAGACCAAGTAGGGGGCCATTGCAGACTAGAGGTGATGTGGGACTAAAATAGGATGGTGGCCATGGGAGAAGGAAGAAAGCAGATATGAAATATGTTGTGGAGATAAAATTGGGAAAAAACAATTGATTGTATGTGTGTCTGGATCAAAGGAGAAAGAAGAGTTGAGAATGATCTGATGTTGAAAAGTTGGGTGACTTAAAGGATGATGATGACCTTGAAAAAATAGGAAAGTTAGTAAGAGGCTTGGGCTTTTTGGGAAAGTCTTTAGTTCTATTAGTACCTATATATCTATGGGTAACCAAGGTAGAGATAGTCAGCAAGTACTTTGTAGAGCAGAAGCTGAGCTCAGGAAAGAGATAATATTTATAATGAGCTTAATAGGTAGACAGCAGGTCCAAACCCAGGGTACCAAAGTTTTCTGTAAAGCCAGTCCTAATATTGAACCAAATAGTTTGAAATGCACCTGGACCAATAAAAAGGGAACTGTCATTTCCCATTTTTCAGTGTTTCATTGTGGATATTATCTCAAAATTAGATCTTTCTGCTCATTGACTTATACTTTACTTCTCTTTATCTCAACTTGCTCCTGATCTGCCTGGAGCCCCCCATACCACACTGGAAGAAGGCCAGGGGAAAAGGAAAAAGTAGTTTCACCTGATGCTACTTAAAAGACAGAGACACAGAGACACACAGACACAGACACAGACACAGACACACACACACACACACACACACACACACACACACCCAAAACAAAAAAACCTTGGGATTGAATATCATTCCTATTTTTTTAATTCTTTCTCACTCTGAGATATTATAAAATCATAGGATCACTGTTTTTAAGATTTTCTTGCCCTCACCTCAGTTTTCCTCTTTAAAAAACAATCATTTTTGTATTCTTAGTTGCAAATTCTCTCCCTCACTCCACTGGTTTTCTCTTTACACACTTGGTGACTTTGGCTACTTATGGACAATTTCAACTTCCTTGTATGGCACATTGAATGTTAGGGTCCAAATGTGGTGGTTCCATTGTTATTGATGATTAAATAGATTGTTACACAAATGCTGACATATTTATCCCATTTTTCAATTTAATGTTTTCCTGCTGGTTTCATTTTTGATTGGTTTTGAGGTGATTTGACTCCTTTGTATCTCAGATTAAGCTTTATGTAGACTTGGTTTTGCTTCCATTGGGTGGTTTTAGCTTATGAGATGAAATTCTTCACACTTTTTTGCCATCCTCCTATATAGTGTTTTACACGTGAATTTGTATCCTAAACTGCTATTGCCTTTGCCTGCCATCTCTCTCTGATACATTTATGTATTTGCTGCCTATGGAGGTTTGGGATTCTTTTGGCCTCCTCATTGTGGTAACTGATTTGTATGAGTTAAACTTTTGCAGGAAATGATGATAATGTGTGTATATATATATATATATATATATATATATATATATATATATATATATATATACATATATACATATATATATATACATATATATACATATATACGTATATATATGTATATATATATGTATATATATATATATACACACATGCACACACACATATATACATATATTTTATTTTGCCTTCTTCCATTTCCTATCCTGCTGTATTGACAATTCACTAAAGTAGAAGCTGTTGACAACTTTTCCGTGTCTTTCTTTTACTTTCCTTCTTCCAGATTTGGTGTTAGTTTTGACCTTTGTTCTAGCTAGCTGATGATGCACACAGATGCTTCTGATATGACTCCTACAATGGTAGAAGTCATTTCCTGTCTGTTATTTGTTCATCACAGCTATGATTTATTTGATTCTAAGTCTTTGGTCATGGATACAACCCCCAATTATAACACTAGTCCCGTGAAAAAAATATAACATTTTACTGTCATCTATTTTATGATGTTATTTTTAGGAATAAGCTATGACAAAAAAACCTCAGGAACTCTCAGAGATAAAAAGACATGTTTTCTTTCTCTTATTTCTCGTTGTTTTAGGGTCTAAATGTCATGATCAGGGGTGTTTTTTTTTTCTGAACAGCTACTTTATGTGATAGTTTCCTTCATTAATTTGGACTTACTTTTTGTGGCTTTTTTCCCCCAGGTAGGCAAATGGAGAACCAATTCCTTGATTCATGTATGAATATAAAGTGTAAACTTCCTTGCTTGCTGCTTCAGAGGAACAGCCTAGACCTTTTGGGTAGATGGTCAGACAAAAAGGATTTTTTTTTAAAGTTCTGTCCTGTGTTAAAAGATTTACTATCAATAATTAAGGTTTTACTGTAATTTATATTAAAGTTTTACTGTAATTATATGCATGAAAATGCAAATCCAAACTTCTTAGCCAAGCATTTGAAACTCTTCACAATCTGTCGCTAACCTCACTTGACAGTTTTATATCATATTATTTCCCTCCACTATTGTATGTTTCACAGTCAAATGACCATCCTTGGTACTTGCCTTGTATTGTCTTGGTTCTACACATTGGCCCAAGCTACTCTTTTTTCCTAGAATGTTTCATTCCATGAAGCTTTCCTGATCCTTCCCAGTTGGTAGTGATCCTTGGACAACACATATCTCTTGCATTCTCTTTATCATGAGTCATTTTGTAGCATAACTGTTATATGTCCTTTCCCCTATTAGACCTGGTGTGCACCTAGCATGGTGATCTGTACCAAGAGGATGCTTAATGCTTGTTGAATTGAATGTCAATCAAGTGGATAGCTGAAATGAACTAATAAAATGAGTTCTAATTTTGGAACCACAATTTGAAGAAGAGATGACAACATTCTGTATGTTGATGCAAACCAGAGGTTTCAAACACATGAGCCACAGGCTACATGCAGCCCAAGCCAGATTAAAATGCAATAGAGTAATATTTATCAATAAATAAAAATACAATAAAACAGAACAGAGACAAAAATTGGTGATCTAAGTCAATACACAACCCACAGGAATCCTTTTGTATGGATTAGTGGTCCCTATTTCTAGTTGAATTTGACCCTATTAGTACAAAGTACAGGGAGATAGAAGAGAGAATAACACAACCAAAGTGGAGATTATGGCTTTTATTGTCTTAAATTCTAAGATTCTATGAAGAGAAACCACTAATGAGATTTAAAAAAAATTAGGCATGAACCATCTGAACAGTTAAATGGGTTAATAAGAAAGGCAAACACAAGTTACTAAAGACAGCATGGGATAGCAGACATAGGGAAGGCTCAGAGTCAGAAAAGGCTAGTTCTGCCTCAAACACACATACAAGTTGGGTGGTTAGGGCAAAGTCACTTAAACTCTTGCTCCCCTGCAAACTCTTTAAAGCTAAAAGCTGCAGATATAATACCAATCTGCAGTGGTGGAAGGAGTTTCCCACTCCAGGAGTTTCCCAAACCAGTGCAATCACAGATCTGGACAAAATTTAAAATAAGCAATAAATCAATGATTCATTAACTTACATTTATTTCCATGGTACTTTTAAGGCTTACAAATATTTCTTCAGAGAGTAAAATGGATAATTTGAGAGTAAAGAAACATAGGTAAAAGACGAGTCAGCTGTAGCTATTGGTGAGCAGCAGTGATAAGTACTTTAGATGGTGGAAACACACTTCAATACTGCCATAACATAGCGAAGTACTGATCCAGCCTACCATCACAGTTTCTATGACTCTGATTCACTTCCTTTTATTCATCCTCTCTGAGCTCACTCCCCTAATTCACACATACAGTCCAAGTTGGGTCCTCAAGAAAGTGACTGCCCCCCTCACATGCTTGGGCTAACATTGCGCATGGCTACTCCCACTCCTGGGGGTCATGAGGCTCCAGCAAGTGGGTTTCCAATGAACCAATCAGTAGACCCAATTAGCTCTTATGAAAGATATTTACTCAAATAGCATGGCAAGAAGAGTAGTTACAAACTATCCTCATTTTCTCTTGTCTCCCTATCCCCTCCAAACAGCATCCATGAAAACAAAGGGCTTAAACTTGGAAAACAATGTTAGTGAGGCACAAATGATCTCTTCACTGCAACCTGCTAACGACTCGCATCTGTGGTTGAGGGTGGCTGTTAATGGATGATAGTGGAATCCTATGAGATACTACAAATGTGTGGCTTCATTCTTTCTTCAGGGGCTGATGGCTCAGAAAACAGAAGGTAATTAACACAAGCAAGTTTACTTTTCCTAATGAGATTTTTTTAAAGCACCAATATAAACAATAGAAATTTATTAAAAAGATATCGTGACACTTTTTGGAAATGAGTATGAAAGAAAAAAAAAATCAGGCATTTCAAGGTCTCTCTAATTTCCACTTACTTTTGTGTCTTTTTTTTTTTCAGGTAGGCAAATGGAATACATACAACCCTCTACACCAATTTCTTGATTTGTGTATGAACGTAAAGTGTAAACTTCCTTGCTTGCTGCTTGAGGGAACCAAGCTGGGCCATTAAGTTAGAATTTGACTCAGACCTTCTCTTGGGTAGATGGTCAGAAAAAAAAAAAAGGATTTTTAAAAAAAAGTTCTTGGGGCAGCTAGGTGGCGCTGTGGATAGAGCACTGGGCCTGGAGTCAGGAGGACCTGAGTTCAAAGGCGACCTCAGACCAGGCACATGACACTTACTAGCTGTGTGACCTTAGGCAAGTCACTTAACCTGGACTGCCTCACTAAAAACAAAACAATGAAAAAAAAAAGTTCTAAGATTCCATTCTGATTTCCATTAGTTTTTAAATCAAAGACTGTCTTAATCTTAGGTTGCTAAGCTAGGTTTACCATTTTTGTCTTTAAAAGCACAGGTGAGGCACCTTTAGATTCTGCTCTTCATTTACTGTAGAGTATCAGCTTAGAATCAAATAGCTAAGCATTAACTGGAATACCTAAAGTTTTTTGAAATTATAAACTGTAGCTTATTGTTCCAATTACAGCAGTAAGAAGAATGATCCTGAATAATCATTGAAGTACAGAAAACAGCAACAGTTTCTATGAATCTATATGGTAACAACACAGAAAAGGCATATAAAAAAACTGCTCTCCATTCTCAAATCTGAAATACAGTTTCAGTCACCTCAAAGAACTGGGAAAGCTTACTCAAAAGAAAAGCGATAAACATTTGTTGAATGAGTAAATCAAGTGAAGAAACTAAACAATATTAAAGTTCATATACTGAATGGCAAGGGAAGATAAATTGATAAAAATAATTGATATTAGATCACAAAATAATTAGTTTACTTAAAAAGATGATCAGGACAGAAAAGCTGAAGCTAGTTCTCACAGGAAAACTGAAAGAGATTTTATGGCCTTTCAACAGCAAGAAATCAATGGCAGTGACAGGATACCTACCATTGACTGAAAGGATGCTATGATTATATGGGAGATCTCTGAATTAATGTCACAACACCGAAGCAAAGTGGTTTTGAGGCAAGACAAGAAAACAAAATTAAATAATGGCATGGCAATGTATTGGAATAACAGAACAGAAGGTGACTGAAATAATTAAAGTGGTCAGCGATAAAAAAGTGCCAGGTCTTGACGTGATGCTGAACTTGGAAGACATTTTTGAGGTGAATATATAAACTATAATAATTCTGAAATAATTTTTCTCAGGACATAACATTACATCAAATCTATATATAGCAAGTGCTTGTTTCTTACTCCTTTAAGTCAAACCTATATGCTATAAACTTATTTCAGTGAACAGCCTACGGTAATTTGCATAACCCACCCAGGCTGCCCAGAACTAAGTGGGGGAGAACAAGAATCAAGTGGAAAGAGTATGGGAAGGAATTCCGGAACCCTAACCAGACTCAGTGGGAGGTACTGATCAAGTAGGAAGTATGCCCCTGGGGCAATGGGGGAGGGGAAAAAGAATATGAAGACCAGTGAGCTTGATGCCATTCCTGGGAAAATTCTAGGACGTTATTCCAAAATGGAGGACAACAGAATCATAGAACACTTACAATAGAGAGTAGACAACTTATTGAAAATAGCTCAATTAAGGGTCAATGCATCAGGACACAGGAATGGAAGAGTAGCAAAGTAGCAATAAGGTAGAACTGCCAGTCTTTCTATCTTGTTGGGGCCTGCCCAAGAGAGTTCAAGGGATTGTATAGGACCCTGTAGGAGGGTCTCTCATTAGAAGGGGGAAGGAGAATCTCTTTACACTTTATTGATTTTGATTCAAGTACTTTTCATGTTCTTTATAGTTTACATAAAGCTATTCTATGTTTTGAAGCCTTTCAAGGTCAGATGTTTATAAGGGGAGCTGGTCACCACTTTAGGTGGAGAGCTAAATACTGAAGTACTCAGGTTTCACTTGAATTGCTAGCAATGAGCCAGAAAAATGAAAGATACCCAAAGTGTACCTGGGTCTTTTGTGTAAGGATGGCCCCACACAAAAATGGACACATACATGTGCCAACCTATAACATGCCTATTCCCAAACCAATGAAACTTGTTCTGATAAAGTGATAAAGTTTTAATATAGTAAAAATGACATCATGACTAAAGAATTGTAAGGACAGAATGAGAACATAAAGACCAAATGTTTCAGCCCTATGACAGTTATTTTGATGATTAAGAAACCACAGCAATAACAATACCTGAGTAAAAGTAATGCACAATTCTACAACACATAGTAGTATCATTCAGTGTTTTGTCCTTCAAATATTCTAAGAATTAGGACTGTAAAATCCATGAGGACAGAGATTGTCATTTGCCCTTTTTTATATACCCAAAGTTTATCACAGTGTCTCGAATATAGTAGGTACTTCATAAATGTTTACTAATTAAGAATCGCAAATACAATTCTAAGCTTTAAATTCATTTCAACAGTCTTCATGAACAGCTTACTCCCTACCAGTTCTCGTATGATATTTTGTTATTTTATGCAGGATCAACCACATAGACAGTCTGCAGAGCAACTTTATTGACCATTTCTTCAGATTCCTTTCAAAAACAAGAAACATATTCCTATATTTCAAGTTGGTCATCGTTGGGTGGTACATTTATTTATCTGGTTATCAATGGTTTTGCTCTCCTTTTTGATGAGAGCATTGGGAATCTAAGGTTTCCCACTGATTAGACTTCCAATTTTCAATAAATTTATGCAAGTTCTTTTTCCCCCCTAAAAAAATCAAGATACACTTGTCTAACTCATTATTATAATTAAGCCTTGATAAAAATTTAATACTAGAGTAAGCACAGAGCCTTAAGGGCATATAGCTAGTTTTTAATACTTATTTTAAATTGAATTGCAGGAAGTAATATGAAAAAAAAACTGGCTATATGCAACAGGCACCTTTGTATTTATATTAACTTTATTTTTCTGATGGTATGCACTATAATGAAATATAGGTTTTCTCTCAGCTCTTTGCAAGATGTTTCATAAAACTAATGCATAAGCCAGAAATCTCTTGGAATAGCTTTATTTCTGCTATTACTGTGAATCCATACTGTAAATACAAACCTGAAACCTTGCCATTTTTTTTTCACAGCTGTTTCTGCTATAATACCTGGAGTTCCACAAACTACTCTCACCACTGGGGAAAAAGTAATTCTCATTACTTACAGTCTCATAAAGTCCCAGAATTATAGAATTAGAAGGAACTTGACAGATCTTGTGAAATTGCCTAATTTCACACAAGAAGAAACTGAGTCTCAGGGGATTTATAGTTTTGTTTCCTCCAAGACCAAATGTAGGGAGAGGAACCCACTTTTCTCATATGAAAATTCAGACAACACCTGAGTTATAAACATTCTAGAATCTGGAATCACAACAAGAGAAAGTGACCTTTATTTTCACTTCAAAATACTTAGGGAGTAATTAGTATAGGAGAGATAATACTAATGGGACGGGAAGGGAAAAGGACAGGAGATGGTATGTAACACCTGTGGCAGGCACTACCTAGTGCAAAGGCAAGGAGGCTGGAGATGGCATCTTCCAGTGAGAAATACCAAGTAGGTCAATATGGCTTGACTGTTGGGTATCTCAAGTGGGGTAATATATAATTATAAGAAGATAATATATTTGTATTAGTACCCAATGGTTTTTTAAAAAGGTTTTTAAATCATAAAGTCAGAGTAGTGCCTTAGGAGGATTATATTATTACTAATACTTCACTCCTACTGATAATATTCAATATATCCTGTTTGTGCATAGTTCTTTGTATGTTATCTCCCTCACTAGACTGTGAGCTCTTTGAGAGTAGGGGCTGTTTTTTTTTTTTGTCATTATCTATATCCCCAGCACTTAGCACAGTGCCTGGCACATAGTAGGAATTTAATAAATGTTTGTTAACTGGCTGGTGAATGGCCAATTGAAGAATGGCTTGTAAAGGGCAGGGAGGAGGCTGGATGGGTGGGGGTTGAGACCAGACTTAGATAGACAAGTTAGAAAGCTAATCCAATGGTTGAGGGAAGAGGAAATGAGGCTGGGTCTAAAAGATGTTGAGAAAGAATAAACAATAAATGAATGTGTTTGGAAGAAAGTGTTGAGTGAGAAATAAGGGATCAGAGTTGACTCTAAGGTTTCAAGCCTGGATGAATGAAAAAATGATGTTGTCATTAACAGAATTTAAAAAAATAAATTAATAAATATAATAAAGGCTAACTGTGGCTTTCATGTTCATATACATGTATTCTGGAGGTTTTAGTGGATTGTAAGCTCAATATGAGACAGTAATAAAACACAATAAGAAAAACTAATGTAATCTTAGGTTGCATTAAGAGGGACATAGTGTCCAGAATAATAGAAGTGATAGCCTCCCACTATATTCTTCCCTGGTCAGACTACTGTTCTGGGCTGCAATTTTAGTAAGGAAATTGATATGCTGGAAAGCATCAAGAGAAAGGTATCAAAGAAGAAGGGAATGGACACAATGCCACATGAGGATTAGTTGAAGGGAACTAAGGATATTTAGAAGAGAAAACTAAGGGGAGATGGATGACAACTACCTTAAAGTATCTTCTAAATTATCCCGTAGAAGAGGAATTTTGTCTGTTCTATTTGGCCTCAGAAGGCAGAACTAAGAAAAAGTTTATTTTTTAAAACATATTTATTATTTTATTTTCCCCCAATTACATATAAAAAACAAATTTTAACATTTGTTTTGTAAAATTTTGAGTTCTCAATTCTCTTTGTTCTTCCTCTTGCCTCTCATTGAGAAGGTAAGCAATTTGACATAGGTTATACATATGCAGTCATGTAAAATATATTTCCATATTAGTGATGTTGTAAAAGAAAACGTAGACCAAAAGAAGAAAAACAAGAAAAAAATTAAAAAGGATGCTTCCATATGCAGACTCCACCAGTTCTTTATCTGGAGATGGATAGCATTTTTCACCTTAAATTTTTTGGAATTGTCTTAGATCATTGTATTGCTGAGGGCAGCTAAGTCATTTACAGCTGATCATTGTACAATACTGCTGTTTCTGTGTACACTCTTCTGGTTCTGCTCATTTCACTTTGCATCAGCTCATGTAAGTCCAGATTTTTTCTGAATGCATTATTCTCATCATTTTGTATAGTACAATAGCATTCCATCACAATCACACTACAACTTATTCAGCCATTCCCCTATTGATGAGTATCCCCTCAATTGAAGACCAAGTTTCAAGAAGCACATAAGAATAAGAGAAAAGTTCTTAACAATGAGAATTGTACTAAATTGAAATAGGCTGCTATGAGAGGCAATAGGGTTCTCTTTGCTGAGGTTTTCAAGTGAAGCTTGTCAAGTATATAGAGAGAATGTAATTTCAGATACAGACTGATCTAAAAGGTCTCTGAGGTTATATCAAGCTCTGAGATTCTATACAATCTGGAAATTAGGAGGAAGAGATGGTTTGGGACAAGAAGAGTCAGTAAAAAATATTAAGAAGAGGTATGCCAAGTTTGATTTTGGACATGATTAACCCACTTGCTGCTTCAGGGAGAGATGCTTGCGGGATAAGTACTTGAGCCAAATAAGGAGAAGGAAGTTGGATGCTGATCTGGATAAGTATGGGCCTGTGAAGGCAAGAGATTAAATTTAGAAAGGAAAAACTAGGGAGAACTTGATGAAACAACAGAAAACAGAACTGAAGGACAGCAATTTTAGCTGACAAAGGGTAAAGCTGAATTTGTAAGTGGATTAAAGGGTAGAGTTAAACTTGTTGGCCATGAAATCAAGATGGGAAGAAAAGAGAGTGTTACCAGCATAGGAATAATGGCTTGGGAAAGAATTGAGAGGTGAATAGAATGTAGGTTGAGGTGAAGATGAAGAACAGTTTGAAGTTGCAAGGCAGAGGGAGAAGTGGGATGAAAACATTATGATAGAGGGATTTCAGAGTTTATAAACATGAATATGAAATACAGGTGATGATGACATCAACAATGTATAACTGTTGTGGGGTGCCAGAGGAGACAATGGAAAATTAGTAAGTTGGGAGGTTGTTGAGGGAGTATCAATATGTATGTTTAAGCCCCTTAGTATGAGGGCAGGAGAGGAGAGAAAGATGATGAGCTAAGTACTCAACTTACTGAAGAAGAAAGGAGAGTATCTTGGATATCGATGGACAATAGACATCAGAATCTCTATTGGGCAACAAGTATGGATTGTATAAACTTTAAAGGAAGACCGGTTACTAAGTGATGGTGGTAGAAAGAAACAGAAAGTGGGAGTAGGGAACAAGGAGGATTCCAACTCTTCTACTGTAGCTACTGAAACACACAACTAGTGCCAGAAAGGATAACCAGGGAAGTTGTATCATGTGAGTGCCAGAAGATAGAATGAATGAGAATGGAACAGATTTTATCCAGTATTTTAACTAATGAAATAGACATCCCAGAGAACAAAGTGGAAGGGTTGTGTAGTTTTAGACTAGGTTGAAGTAATTTAGTTGAGGGGGATGGAAATAAGGGAGCAGGCGTTGGTGGTGCAGGAGGTAGTGGTGGTCAGTGAATGGGGTTTCAGAATCATTGGGATGAGGCTGGGTATGATGGGGTAAAAGTATTTTAATTATTGAGGAATGAGTTTATGTAGGTTATTGTTATCTACAGAGGTTTGTCCTGGGGTGGAATTATCCCAGAACATCTGGAAAATGACAGTGGCAGGGGAGGGGAGGGAGTGTCTGATTTGAAGCAATGCCAGCCTTATGGAGCTGTAGGTGGCTGCAAACAGTATCTACCTGGAAAGCAGCAAAAGAACAAAACAGGCTCTATGGAACTATTACTGCCTTGGAGGGGACTAAAACACTGATAGAAAGATGGAAAGTCCAACATTCTCCATACTGTTTGAGGGAATGTTCCTTCTCTAATCAAAGGAGGGCAGGGAGGAAGAGACCTGGCCAAGACTGGAAACTGCAGGGAAGTTTCATCTCCCCTCCCTCTACCACCACCTAGGAAGTTCCTTCATAGGGATGTGTTGGGAAAACCACACATTTTTCAGAACACACAAAGAAATCCCCCAGCCAATTGGAACAGATCTCTGGTCTAGAATAGTTTTATTTTACCAAATAGCTTTCAAAGATTTTTCTGCTCTTAGTACAAGGCCAGGATTTAAAGTGATTAATTAGAAATTTTATTGCCCACTTCAATTGTGGGTGTGGCTGAGTAAATCAATCACCTAACCCTTTTCTGAGTACAATCCACTCATTTTACAGATGAAGAAATGAAGTTAAATGACTTGACCAGGGTCACATAGCTATTAATTGTCACAGGCCACATTTGAATCCATATCTTCCTCATTAAAAATCTAGCAGTCTATACAGTACATCATATTGCATTAGTTTGTTCCACATAGCAATTTATTAACAATTATGTAAGCTAGGTTGAAAGCCCCCTATAAGTTACTGGGGCAGCTAGTGGCATAGTGGATAGATCCTGGAGTCAGGAAGATTCATTTTCCTGAGTTCAAATCTGGCCTTGCATACTTATTGCCTGTGTGACCCTGGACAAGTCACTTAACCCTGTTTGCCTCAATTTCCTCATCTATGAAATGAGCTGGAGAAGGAATTAGAATATCACTCCAGTATCTTTGCCAAGAAAACCCCAAATGGGGTCACAAAGAGTTGGGTATGACTGAACAACAAAAATATATTATTATCTCTATTTTGTAAATAGGGAAACAGCTTCAGTTCTTATATAGCTTGCCTAAATGGTAGGGTCAGAGCTAAAACTCGAGGCTTTTGATTCTAAGTCTCATGCTCTTTGCACTATACCATACTGTCTGTCATCTCCCAAGAATCAGAAAATAAAATATATAATTGGAGTAGCTAACTCCATGGTTTCTCTGGATCATTCTGCAAGGCGAAGCTGTCCTTCCAATATAATAAGGGAGATTGCCTTGGGCCTTCTGCCTTGGGAAACATTCCATACATCCCCCAGGCTGCATGTTTCTCTTCGATAACTTTTTTCCTCTTAAGGTTCATTTTAATTACACTGCATCTGTATAAAAATGTTGGCAGGTAGGAGGTGACACATGCTATAATTTGCCCTAAGCCCTGTACACCCAGGAGAGTGTCTTCAATAGTCATAACAACAGTGGTATCAATATTTAGCCCTGAGTTGTTAGGCAATAGAGTAACAGGCACAGAATCCAAAATTCCAAGGAAAAAAATTACCACAACAAAACCAATGAGTGGTTGTCCAGTCATTGCTAAAAGATCTCCAATGAAGGAGAACCCACTTATCTCCAAAGCCCAAATTACAGTTGACACACATGGCAGCTGAGAGATGTGCAGTGGGCATAAACAGCCTATAGATTATTAGCAATGATCATCTGCACACAAAAACTGGAATAAGAAATGCCATCTAAGAAATGCATGATCAGAAAAAGAGGCAGGCTATCCCTTTAGCAAGATTGAGGGATAACAGATGGGTAGTCTAAATAATACACTGGTACCCATGGAATGTTAAAAGGATGATGAGATGATAAGAATGCCTTCAACAGGTTGGGTTCTTCCTCTATAGCGTATATATGAGAACTGTTTAAGAATCTCAAAGATGAGATACTAAAAGACATATACCGAAAATATATACCTTTATGCAGGTGTATAGTCAGTTTGATGTCTATAGGACTGTTGTGGTCAACAATTGTGTTTTGATGGTATCACAGACCCACTCAAGTATTAATCTGATGAGTAAAAATCTATCGTCACCTACTATTATAAAAGTCATTACAGC